TTTCCTATGAGTTCACCAGCTACTGGGAAATAAGAATAAATCCAAATGGAGTAGCAGGACAGTGGAGGTGCTCCAAGCCCAGTGGAGCTTTTCAGGCAGATGATAAATCGGGTTTGGATTGCCGCTCATCAGTTTGTCTAGGAAGGCTTTAATATTCTGTGCACATGTCACATACATGTGAAAAAAATAATATTATCGAATTAGCAGAAAATCACATTTATACTATTTAGGTTACAAAGGCTTCCATGAACACTAAATAGGTGATTTTTCATTGTTACAATACATGCAGTGCAAAGATCTCATCTTATGTCTGCTATTGATTTCCGTAATGCCATCTTAAAAACTGATGATTACAGCTGTATCTTCCTTCTTTTATAAATGTCAGTGTCTCCTAGTGAGCTCTAGAGCCCACGTATTTATATTTCTGTCTTTGGATGCTCTTCTTGCTCGTGTTTCTATTCAAAAATTGCAATACTACAGAATTTCTAGAAATCTGGCACATAAGTATATTTGCGGGACAGCTGACCTTTTCTTGTGTGGATCAAGGAGTGCCGTTGAAAGGAAGTCAGGAGTTTTACAGTAGAAGGCGAAAAGGAAAGAAACTGTCACTGTTAAAAAAACCTTAGGGTCCCCTACTATAAAGAATTTAATTCAGTTGCCTGGATTATTCCGACAGTAATATAAAAATACAAAATGTTTTCCAGATTGACCCTCAAAGTACTCTTTGCATATGCCCATCTCAATGGAATGTACTACTCTGTGAAGAAGGTAGGAAACCTTTAGTTGCCTTATGCAGAGCACAATGGGCTTCATGGGAAGAGCATCGCCCGACAGCTGGAGAGGTACTAGAGACATTTCCAGCACCAAACCTGGCCATTTCTCATGGAGAAGATGAAACTTGCTTTGCTAGAGTTTGAGAAGGAAAAAGAAAAGAACTGGAATGACCCATTTGTTCTATAAATGCATCTACTGGCTCTAGTTTTCTTCAGTCCATTGATCTTTTGAACTCCAATCAGTTTAAGATGAAAGGTTGCGCTCTCCCAGCCTTTTGCTGTAAAATATGAAGTAAAAGGAAATCACAGTATAAAAATGCCTATTTGCACTGAAATCAGTCTTTTTTTGGTTGATTTGAATTTCTTTTAATTTGATTGTTAGGCATTGGAACAGGAGAAATGGAGCGGGATAAATATAACAGGAACTCAGTGGGCATTGTGGAAGGTAGCAGAGAGGTGTATGCTTTGCTTGGCGTGCACAGCAAGAGAGTTCTGAAAAATATGCTTTTGGGTATGTATCTCTGGCTTTGGAGACAAAAGCGAACAAAATCTGAATTGTTCCAGATATGAAAGAAAATTCCCTTGCTTGCCCTACATATGACAGCAAAGTGGGTCAGCTGACGGTCGGTGCGTGTGGGGTGTGGGTGAGCAGAATCAGCACACAGGGAAAACTCGGTGCCGGGTGCTGAGCCAGGACCCGGGGCAGTGAGCAGCCCTTCGAGGCAGCGCTCTGCCTGTCGGCTGCTGGCTGTCAGGGCACTGCTGCGGGTGTTCAGATACTTCAGTGCGAGTTTCTCAACCTGCTAATTTTAGGGCACTTTGATTCTCATTCTAATGCGGGATTTGAACAGAGGGGAGCTGTTTATTGTTGTTAAATAATCAACATATAACTCGGTTACTGCAGCACGTGTGCACATACTGACACAATCTTACCGGACAGGGTGAGAAATGCCGCTGTTCAGGATACTCGGTTGTGCCCCTTGGCTATTCCAATACAAAAGTATTGCACTCTGATTTGGAAGTTTGGATCTCCCTGCCCACACTGTTTTCTCCAGTAGATAGATAGTCGCATTCGATTACCTTAGTTGGTGGCAGTGCTGCTGTTTCCCTTGTTGTCTGTGTTCTAATATCCGATAACTCCTGTTTAGCTCTTTCTTCGCAACACTCGCATCTCTGGGGATATGAGTAATACAGTCAAACATTTTGCTCCTTTAGGTCACAGGTGAGGGGTTCCCTTACTAGAGCAGGCCAGAATCTTGTATCTCACAGGCATGTGCCTTTCTTCCATATTTGTGCACTTGTGTCATCAAAAGACACAAGGTAATGGAAATTCATGTTTGAATTCCAGGTTGCATATCTGCTAATTTCTAAACATAAAGGCCATTTTTAACTATCACTCATTTGGAAGACTGGATCACCAGAAGCAGGGTTCCCAGGTCAGAGGAGGGGAGGCAGAAGCATTAATGAATGCTGCTTTGACTTCCTCCATTCTTGGTGGCATCTTGTGCTGATGAATATGTCCAGCCTTGTTAGCAATCATGCATCCTAGAACTGATAACGGTGACTTGTGATAGATGCCTGCCTCCTCTTATCTCAAATGTCTCTTTGAAAAGCATGTTTGGCAAGAAGCCCAAGTGCAAAGGAACAACTCCTCTGTCTTGGACCAAACTTGTAAAGAATCTGTAAAGTTAACAGGCTCTGCTGACCGGCTGTTATTTCTATTCTCTCCTCTGCCGTCTGCTTTCCAGATTATTTTTTAATCTGAACGTCTGACTGCTGCTTATCTTGCTGATGCAAAACCTCTCAATATCCAGTAAGGGAAAGGTTCTCATTGTTTTCAATAGTCTTTGGATCATGCCATCAGCTTCACTTAAGCTTTGGGTCTGGCTCTGCACAGTTCAAAGGATTTATAGTCTCCAAATCCTTATCCAGTTTTTCTGGGTTTGCTTAACTCTATACATGTGACAGGTCTCAGCTCTTCACCTAAGTATCAGCTGTATCTACTACCAACCAGTAATGCAGACATTTAATGTAGAAAGGAAGGAAAAAATGACATTGTATTATAATGTTTAACTTGTGAAAGAAGAGGAATGTCTTCAACCTGTGAGCCATTTGGGTTGCACAAACTATGAATGAGGTATTGTTAGATGAACATTAAATATACATGTATATATTAAATATTTAACGTTATCTTTGTTCAGTTCGCCTTTCTTGTAATTCCTTTTCAGTGTTCATAGAAAACAAACTTGATTTTTTTATATTGCTTCTTAGTAGTGACCTCGAATTTTCTGTTTTGTTAATATCAATTACCTGCACGCGTGAGTCATGTTGAACTTTGTCACTATATTGGAGGAGTACTTCTTGGAATATGTCCCCAAAACTTTTTGCCATGAAAACACTTTGTATTGTTTGAAATAGTCCGCGAGTGCATACTGTTTCATGCATATACAACCGGAAGTTCTTAATTCTTAAATGTTTTCAGCATAAAGCTTAAACAACTGTTCAGTAACTTAGGCAGAGATGATAAAAGAACTGCAGAGAAATGCTATTATCATATACAGGGATGAATGCAACCTGAAAGGTCTTTTCACAACAGTCACTGGAATCCCCAAGTTTGCTGCAGACAAGTATATTTTAAACCTTAGATTAGTGTATACCCACAGTATGTCCCCTGCAGCTGTGAACGACCACTCTTTGTTTAGGACTGGGCAAACATCCAGTGGCCATGTTCTTACAAGGGATGCATTTTCCAGTGTTTTGATTTAATGACTATTATTCAAGCTGAAGTCAGTTCCTTTCTCACACTATTTTAGGCTGTGGTAAACCCTTGTGCCACTCTTCTCCTCAAAAAGAAAATCTGGTATTTTCTTTCTGCTAAAACCAATACAAATTATACCAAGCTCTGTATCTTATGAAATAAATGTTGGTTATCTTCATAATGAATAAATCCTGAATTTAAATGAAGCCTGCAGTTTGGTATTTCTGCTGGCCTACTAACCCTCCTTTTCATTGCTGCTGCTCAATGCAATAGTGTCAGGGAGTTCCTGTTACATCTTTGGTGATGTACAAATAGAGAACAAAAGGTCCCTGCCCCGAAGACTGAAAGTTTAGACATTTCTATTGATTGAATAAATATTCGACATTTGTCTTTTCTTACCAAAAAGTGATACATTAAGGCAAGCGTCACCTGGACAGATAAACAGTGAACATTCTGAGGATGCAAAGCAATTAGGTATGGAGAGAGGCTTGCTGTAATGGAAGGGCAATGGGGGAGGCAAGTGTGCGACTGGAAAGTTCTTCCTCTCTTTCTCCCTTTGTTTTTATTTCAGCATGATCCTCTATTGATCAGATTTTGAACAGAACTACAACACGGGTGTTTTCCAGCATTTAATCCATCCCTGTGTGCCTCTGAGATAGTTTCACATCCACGTTCTCAGGGTGAGGAATGGATACCGGGAGGCTGCAGCCCTTTTGCTACAGGACTCTCAGACCGTCCCGTCTTCCTAATTTGCATTCAGGACTTTACCCAAAGCTGAACTCCCATAGTGAGAAACGCTTCAGGAAAGTGTTTACCCTAGTTAATGGGCCAGACCTACCACCACGTTACTCAAGACCTACCTGCGAATATTTCAGGCATTTTAGTCCTTAGGTATCATTTAGGGTGGGTTGAAATTTCCATTTAATTTAAAAATTAATACAATGGAGCACTTTATTTTTTGAAAGTGTATAGGGAAAAGGGTTTTTTTTTATTTCCATTTTAAAGTGAAAATATCTCTTACAGATTTTATTTTTAGATCTTTCTTTACACATGCTTTTCTTTGGTAGGCTTAGTTACACAGTTGGATAATTTTGTTTTGAAAGTTTAGAATTTCTTAAAAGGAGGAGTGTAGTTAATAAAACATACCCAGGGAAAATGAGATGTTAGTCTCATCTGAAGGAAGAACAAAGCTAGTTATGAAATCATTACAATTTAAAAAAAAAAAAAATCTTTGGCTAGTTTTACATTTTATCAGAGCTGCTGCTACTGAATGGAGAGTATCTAATTAACACCCAGCAGATAACAATTATCTTGTGTAATTACGATGAGCTTGTTTGTTCTTTAACTGATAGCTTAAGCAATGTTTTATGATGTTTATTTGACCTTGCTGCTAATCTGCACCCCGCTACTGTGAGCTGCCAAATGCACGGTTGTTTGGATTTCCCTCTCCACCCCTTGCACTCACTCACGTTATCACCATCATTGTCACTCTGCAGTGCGATGTGTCCCGCACCGTCTCTCCGTGACTGCCACAGTGTTGCTCTGACCCCTCGCAATTGCTGTGAGGCTGCACCCAGTTGTTGCCCCTCTGCTGCCTGTCCATCTACGTCTGTGTGTAAGCAGCGTTAAATGGCCAATTCTGTAAGATCCACAAAACAAAATACGCCGTATTACTTGGAACCAGATAAGATGCTCACTGTTAGAAACTAAAGCATTGAATGTATCTGATAGTTTTACATGTAGTTGATGCAGGTTTTACAATAGACCCACAATCTGCTCTTGTACTAAAAGGTACTAGATAGGTCAGTAACCAAAAGTGTGCTGACAGAACAGATGCATTTGGTTTTGATGCATCCTGAATACTTTGAGAGGATTTCAATTTTCCCACAAAGGCAGAATAAAATGTCTTTGCTGTCCTGTAAATAATGGTCTTGTGTGTTGGTACCTGGCTGCCATAATAATTTTTACAGTAATACTGTATGATGCTCTACTGACAGCCTATCCTTTTTATTAAGGGTTGTCTTGGATAAAATTTCAAATTAATTTTCAAAATATATTTTTCCCTTTGCCGGAGAGAGGCAGACATGATCAGATGGGCGTTGTGGGGCAAAAGTTAGAGTGGAAAGACAATCACCTGTCTCAGATATTTGGAGATGACTAAGGAGGTCAGAAGCCCATTCTGACCAGATCACTCAATCTGTGACTTGGGTTTTGGGGTTGTTTTTTTCACTGACAACGTGGGGTTAAGCATGACTATTTCTTACTCCCTTTTCCTGTGTGCTTTACTGGGGGTAAAACACTGCCTTCTTGCTGTGTATATTTTAATGCACTGCATCTTTAATTTTTAGGATATTAGTGCCTTCTAATTAAAGGACACCTCTGCAAATCTGTCTCTGGGGGGAAAGAAGCCCTTCAGAAGACTGAACTTGTGTGGATATTTAAACTGGATTTACAGTGATGTGGGGGGTTTTTATGTTTGCAAACAGGGAGTCTTTAAGCAGCTGACTAGTGGATCACTCTTCCTGGCACAGTGGCTCTTACTGAAAATCTTTGTCCCAGTTCCATCATTTGAAATGTAGCTATGTTACTTAGAGCAGTTGTTTTCCATCTGGAAAGGAGAAAGGAGCTACTCCCTCCTGAATTCTTTTAAGTCTCATTCAAAAGGCTCTGGTCTCTTTTACTTTTTTTTTTTTTTTTTTTTCCTTTTCCTTCTTCTTCTTTCTCCTCTTGAGGAATCGCCCATTTCCAGTAGCCACCAGCTTGGAAAGCAAGTTGGGTCTACAAATTCTCAGCTCTAATTTTTAATCTCCATTTTTTATCATGAGTGTTCTGACTATTCACAAACTCCTGTAATGTTGGTTATACTGTAGCTTACAATAATTAGGTACCATCTTAGCAAAATCAACTCATGTATGCTCAAATAATGTGAGGCTTGTAGAGCAATTAGGGAATAGCTAATGAACAAAGCTGTAGCTCCCCCATGTTGTCTCACTATCCTCGTCCTTGAAGATTCAGAATAAGGGAGTATCTGAAACGTGGAAATCGATGCAATCCTACTTGGCACACAGTGTGCTGTGTGAACCAGATTTATGTTGGGGGTTACTTATCTGAAACCAATTTTAAATTAATTTAGTGAGGAACAAATAGGAAACATCCCCCAAACAAGGTTTTGTCTGAGATTTCTGGATTTCGGGGATTCCATTAGAGAGGGCAATAGCCTGAGAACAGCTTTTCTTATCACATCTTGTCCTTTTCACTTCAAGAGAGGATTAGAAAGTGCAGTGGTGCATAAGACTTAGTAATAACTATTATTATTTGTTAAGCGTTGTCTTATACGGTACTGAGAACATTGGGTTTCTGTCCTACATGGATCATTAATTTGGGTATGCAGGATTTTTCAAAGTGTCCTTGATGATTAGAGAGAGATTATCACAAAGTGCTGCACTTCTGTTTGGTGTTTGGTTTTGGTTTGGTTTGGGTTTTTTTTTTTCCTAAATGAAGGCACTGAGCTTCAGATTGAATCTAGTTAACTGTAGTAGACTTCTGGCTTGAGGATGAGATAAAGTATGTCAGACCACTTAACTAGGTCCTCTCTCAACATAAATTGATTGGAAGGAGATGTAGAAAAATCTTCTGCATGGGTTATCACGATTCTATGTCCACAAGGACTGTATACAACCTTCCAGTTTAAGATGGCAGTATCACCGAATGAAATCCAGGTGCTTGGGTTCTCAGACATTGTGATAGATCCTCTTCCTTTAGGATAATTCCTATATGCATTTGAAAGCCAAGGTAATGGGCAGCTGGACTCCCAGCTTCATTAATTGAGATATATCTCATTAAAAACCAAATGGTAAGGTTTTGGGTTTGGCACAAGGTGAGGGTTTCATATATCATTTTTTTCTCCTTTGTGAGAAGGGTTCTGTAGAAGCAAATTTTCATTCAAGTTAAATCAGGGTAGATTTGTGTACCTATTACTGATGCATAAATGAATAAAGGGAATAAAATCTGGAGGTCTATCCAATAGATTCATAGTAAGAAATATCCTGAAGAGACCTTTTAGTATTATCTGACCTTGAAAGTAAACCGGAATTTATTCAAATGCCATAGGAACAGATCGTATGCTTTTGGCCTTAGAATTCATAGGTTAACTACTGATAGAATTAATAACGAATAATTTTTCAGAAAAGGAGAACATATGGCTTGTTATCGCTGCCTTCAAGCCACAATCAGAACATTATCTAAATAACTCCAGAATACCAGCAGTATGTTCTCAAGCATCTAGTACATTAGAGCATGATTCCTCAAATACTTTGAGACTATGTATGTTCCATTGTTGATCTCTAAGCAGTGTTGTCTACGTTCTGACTTCTAAGTCCATTAAAATCCTTTCTATTGAGGATTTTATAAATGCGCTGTAATAATCTTTAGTGGGCTTGAGGTGACACTACAGATTTTTAGCTTGGGAACGCTCTTCAGAACTGAAAAAGTAATTAGTATCAGTCCAAATACCCACAAGTCTTTTTTTGTTTGTTTGTTTCATTTTGTTTCTTGTAATGTTGGCTCTCCTGTCGCTTATTTGGTCTGATTCTTATTCAGTGTAATTTTCCAGTCCTTTACTTATGTTCCTGCAAATCTTCATGAGTTGAGTAAATAGATGCAGCAGGATGAGCAGAGAAAACATAACTTGCACAATTTTTCCCAGGCACAGGAGCAAATATTGCAGTCTTCTCCCTGAGTTTTCTGCTGATTCTAGTGACCAGATGAATCTCAGCCAGCTCTGGCTAAAGACATTTTAAAATGTTTCCAGAGATAGGTGGGATAGTGTACACTGGGCTGCTGCTCCCACCAGGTTGCCGTGTACCTCTGCAGAAGGGAGAAGAGCTGGGACCAAGTGCACCGGGCAGGAGACTTGGAGCACTGGGAATTTAAACGTCTTGCTCATCTAATCTGGCTGTTAGCTGTTGTATTGCTCTCCCTTTGATTGATGTATCTATTTCAATGCTTTAAGAACTGGGACTCTTTCTCATCAGGGGTTTGTGCAGTGCATTACATGAGGGATCCTGACCTTGTCTGGGGCCTCCTGTATTTCTGAGAATGAAGTAATAATATAAGACTCATATGTTGAAGCAACGTTTTTAAAAGCTTGTATCTAACAACTGCAGTGGTTATGAAGTGTTGCTGTTGCTCCAAGTTAGTAAACACAAAAAGGGGGCTAACTCAGTTCCCCTTTCTTGGCCTGTGTGCTCAGAGGAAAAAGGAGAAAGTGGCTATTTGGGAGCAAGAAAGAAGAGATTGTCTTAAAAGAAAAGCCAAAAAAACCCCACCCACCCACCTCAATAAAAAACAAAACCAAAAAAACCCCTAGGCTCCACACGGTGGATCAGAATCATAGCTCTTTGCTGAACCCCACTCTGCAGAGATTTCTGGCTCCTTGCTGCGTTTTGAAGCTCTCTTGCCATCTCGCTATTAAAATTATCCTTAGGAGACAGCCTCGTGTCTTTACTTGGCTGCCTTTGCTTTTTTTCCTATTTCTTTTTTTCCTTGATGAGTCATTCTACCAGCTTATACCCTATCATCAGATAGACCAGACAATGAAGTCACTGGGGTTGCCTGAGAGCAAAATTGGCCCATTATCCACAACCACTGTGTCTGCCTTGTCACTGATAATACACCACTCGGGCTGGCCTTCTAAGTGTGATGGAAAATCACCAGTGATGAGAAACCTCCTATCCAAACAAAAATATTTGTTGAAGTTTTGTTGTGGGTGGGGTTTTTTTGGGGGGGTGGGGGTGGTGTTAAATTTGGTGAAATGCTTCCAGCTGAAAACAGGAAATAACACAAATAAAACTGGCGTTATATTTTGTCAATGTAGGAGGGAGAGTAAATTATCTGATAGTGTCCCTTTATTTGTGTGCAGCAGTTTTAGCCTTCTGAAATTAGCAATGGTGGGAAACTTTTATTAGTCTTTTAGTATAAACTAGAAGACTTTATATTTTATGTCAGAATGTATGAGAGAAAAGAAGGATGCTTGACAAAAATCATAATTCATTAACTCAGTACAGAAGCAATGTTGAACGATCATTTCTAGAGGAGCGACATGGGTAGAGAAATACTTGCCCCAGAGAACTTTAGTCTCGAAACAAGACACACCAAATACGAGAAGCAAACAATGCAAGGATGAGGGAAGTGACTTTTTCAAAATTGTATGCTAGGTTGATAGCTGGCTAGGAATAGTAATAAGGTTTTCTGTTTCCCAGAGAAATGTTTTTTCTG